TCACGCTGGCATCTATCAAGCCACAGCTGCCCACGGACGTGAAAGCCTCGCCTGGTCAAAGAACGGCATCCAGGCTGTCGCTTGCAAGAGTGAAAGCGCAGGGTTCTGTCCGGAAACGTAAACAGAGCTCAGATGATACAGGGAACAAACCAGCTAAGAAGACAAAGGCGAGGAGCAAACGTACTTCGCAATCTTCTTCTGCAATAAGCCACATCGACGATGGTGAGAAGCAAGCCCTGCCAGCTTCAGAGAAGGAATTATCGACACCAAAGGTGACAGATGATGCTGGTCACAATGAAAGTGCGGACACGACCACAAAGAAGGAAGAGAGCACGTCGAATGGGGAGGTTGTTCCAGATGTAGAGATGGAAAGTATTGTGGAGTCTTCTAGTGGTGCGGGAGATAGCGCACGTAGCAGTGCTATTTCTGCGGAAAAGATGATGTCTGGCATTTCTGAAATTGAGCCGCAAGTTGTTGAAGTTCTCGCAGACGTCGTTATGACTACTGAAATAGTCAACGATAGTGAAAAAAGGGCCAGGAAAGTCGAGAAATCCGAGCGGATAAACCCAGACTCAGGTGTGGATGAGGAGAAACGACCGCGCGCTGATGATAGTGCTGACCAAAAGACAGATGCATTATCAGCGCAGAGTGTGACTGGCAGCAGCACGAGTGGTGCAGCGAAGGGACTGGCAGTTAAGACTGAAGTGGACGCAACGCGTGCTCCTATTCATACCAGCGCTATGCCGCCTTTGCCAGCTCCATCGCCGTCAGCAGTACGAATCGGGATATCGCCGTCACCAATCAACGCGACGTCGGGTCGGAAAAGGACGCGGAAACCGCAGAAAACAACAAAAAACAGCAATCGCTCGGCTTCACCAGCAAGCGAAGGACCATCGCCTGCTCGATCTCCAAGTCCGCACAAGCAGACTTTTTATCATGCATTTCATGCACAAGGGCCCTGTTTTCAAACGGGAGTAGCCATGAAGAAGTCACGCCGCCGCCAACTCGCTCTGATCCTCCAAAGCCCGACAATATTTTGGCTGAAGATGTGCATTACTATGTTGTTGGCGAGAACATGAGCATGACCACTACATGCCAGGGCATTGACAGCGCTTCTGAAGCCAAGCCTGACAATAGCATGAAGAGGGATAAGTGTACAAGTAACCAGGATGCCAAAGAATGTGCTGAAGACAAGGTGGACAAGACAACAATACATGATGCCCAAGTAAGCAAGGACGTCCGAAGCTTTGTGACGTCCTTAGTGGAGCGGGTGGTGAAGAAGATGGCTTCAGATGTGACTGCTTCCACTGCCCCTGCAGTGGCGGATGGCTCTTCCGGCAACTCTACAGGCAAGGTACCGGTGAATGGTGTTGCAAAGGTTAAAGTGGGTGCTAAAAGCTTGGCATCCAATTCTGCCGTGGACGTTCAAAAGAGACGAAGTTCAGAGAGCAAGGACTCTGGAAGGAAGCAAAGTGCTAGCGTCCATGTCGAATCACAACTATTCGGAAGCCACAGGGAGTGCGAAGATATCCAGACATCCTTGCACAGAATGGCGGGTCACTTGGAACTATTGAAATCTTCGCGAGTGATTAACCCACGCGAAGCCCAACTGAAACCTCGTTCTCCTGAAACACCGACACCTGCGTCCGAGCTTGCTCTGGCGACGTGTGAATCCAAGCAAGGTGATTTCCATGATGAGCAGAGTTACCTGACTGCGTTGCGGACCAAGTATGGTCCTGGTGTGAGCGGATGTGCCGAACAAGTGATTACTTTGGTGGATTATTACCGTGACTTCGAGCGCCGCACGGACCTTAGCGAGATATGGAAAGCACGCATAACGAAACTTGAGAAGATCGAGAGCTCTCTGTCTGAGTATGTTCAACACTTGAACATCCCTGCTGGTCTTCGACAAGATTTCATCAAGGTGCACATTTTTCACATTTCACTTGATGTTGCTAATTGTTCTCTAACGCCGTTATCGTGTGCAATCTTGTTACAGGACCTCATTGCTTATCTGCGCGAGTCGTGGACAATTAGAGACCGACGGTGCCTCTTGGAAAGTCAGGGAGGAAAGGTATTTCCGAGCCTCTCCCCCACTTAACCTCGAGACTACTGAGTCTCTCGTGGCTTCTAATAGCCACTGGCAG